TACACTTCATTCTGAACCATACAATTAAGATTACAAAGGGTACAATACAGTAGGGTAAATACCTAAAACTATAGAAATAAAAACTTGGTTTTAATACATCCTCTATTGACATATTTGGGTGGCAGAAAAGGAAAAACTTAGAAATTAACTACCTAAAATGGCCAAGCAGGAGACACAGAGGCAGTGGAGACCAGAGGCAGTGGAGAACAATGCAAAGGGCAGAAAGAAGTCAGTGTTTCATGTCTAACAGATGAATTTAAAGCTGAAAGGAGTTTCAGTGAAATTTTTACCAACAGTAAATACCCAAAAATTCAGGGTCTAACCTTGCTCACCTCAGTCACACACGGAATTGCCCTCAGATGCAGTGACACATTTTGCATGAGTTGGTTTGCATGACCAGGAGACGTACCAATAAAAATTGAAAAAACAGCTTATGCTATCTGAGTAGTGTAGTGATCTATATGCTGTGAGTGGTTTACAGTTCATTTTTTCCAGTTTACATTACAAACAACAGGAAATTAAAAGGTAAAGATAAAAAACAGACCAAAATGTGAACCCAGTTTGCATGTTACTACACAAGTTCACTTCGTACCATTTAAAAATTAGACTCCCATCCCTCAAGAAAAAGCTTCATGCCTTGCAACTACAGCATAAAAAAATGAGCCTGAAAGTCTGGAGCCATCAAGATTGAGAAAAGTTCTTGTATCTCAGCGTGGGAAGGATCCTCTCTCAGTGGGAGCAAGGATCTCTGTGCAGGAGGGCTGACGTCAGTGGATGTGGGAGGGAAATAGTGATGGGAGGTTTGACAGGAAAATGATTGAGGACAGTTTCAGTGGGAACAGGGAGGAATCAAGAGAGGGTGGATGGCCTCAGTGGAAGCACGGACAGTACATGTGGGAGTTTCAAAGGGAGGGAGAGCTTGTGTGTTCCAAGGGGAAGGAATTACCAGACAGACAGGAAAAGAGCAGACAGCTTAACTGACTAAATAATGTGCTGTTAAATGCTGAAACAAGATCCACTTCAGCACTGCAGGTACAAGTTTAGCATATAGCCTCCTATATGCAGAATTATGCAACCATTGGTTTGCAGTGACTGTAAAATTCTCAGGCAATTTTCACAGGGTCTGAGTAAAGAAAACTTACTGGCTGTAGGGCCACAGATTTAAACTGGCTGTTCCATATCAGCTGATAAATCAAAAGGCTACCTCACATTTAGCCCTACTGGCTGAGGACTACTTTTAATTCAAAATAAATGAAGCTTGGATTTACTCTCTGATGCCCTTGCTCTCAAATGCACATATTTCTGTGTTAACTATACACAACAGTGAGAGTTACACAAGACAAGAGGAAGGAAATCTCACATACGTAAAAGAATGACAGGGCAAAATAAATGTGCAATGTGTGTGCTACAGTGTATATTAGTGCACTACAGAAGGACAACACACACATGTGATGTTGGAACAGCATATGCTCATGAATCCCCAAGAAAATTTTAAATGAATGGCCATGAAGTCCTTATACCACTCCACCATTCCAAGCATTTACTCCACTTATGCTATAAAGAGACATATTATTCTAAAGGTGTTTAAGCAGGTTTCTACAAAGCCAAGTACTTTTACCACAAATACAACGCCACAAATGTCTGAAGAAGAAAATATTAACTAATATATATGAAAAAGACAGACTATCACGATTTTGAGTCCACTTCCTTGAGATTTTTAGAGCTAAAAAAATCAGGCAAATTCTCCTTTGCAACAGTACTGCATACAGTGTCATTTGATACTCTCAATGTAGCACTGGAAAATCAAACCTCAGTCACTGCATCTGAGTCTTGCTGGTCTTTCACTGGGAAAAGTACATAGTTTAAACTGTGAAGTTAATACCTTGAAAATTAAGGGAACGGTTTTCATGGCTGTTTCACTTTTTAGATATGGAACTTACTTCAAGTTGTTTATAAATTTTCAAATGAAAAACATGTATTAAATTACTAATTAAGGAGGGAGATACAGGTGCCATGACCAAATATAATTTCTTAAAAGGGATCCTCCATTTCTCATATACCATCACTACACTCATATATACCAGAAATAGGTATTACGGCATTTGTCTCTGCACACACACACACGCACACACTTTCAAGGCTGCTCTGCAAATTTGTTATGGATAAACTTGGGATTTTCCAGATTAGGAAGGAACAGGTAATTTTTTTAGCTACAGTTTGTAAATGGATGCAAATCACAAATATATAGTATGCTTACACCACACATCCAGGAAATGATCCTCTGCTATTTGACCAGAAGAAAGATATAATAAAATTTAAACATAAATCCAGAATAAGTCTGGGGGCTAATTAGCAATATATATAATTACATTTTACAGTTAGCATGGGTTATTTATTTTTATGACACTTTCTGACTTGGAAAATGTGCACTGTAGCTAACAAACTGATTCAATAAAAGTTATTGTGCTACTTATTATACATATTTTAATGCTAACCAAAGTGAAAATATGAGATTTACACACGGAACAAGTTTTGTTCTTAACTCTCAAATAGGACGTTCTTGGCTTTAATCTGTTCATATACAACAAAAGAATGTGAATGAATATCAACTAAAGTGCCCTGAAACTAAGTGAAAATGCCATTCAGGAATGTTACTGGCTGTTCACACAGATTCTGATGACACCACCACTGGCCAAAGCACAAAAGGTTTGTAGCATCTTCTATTCCATTGAGGGTACCCCAGGAGCCATAAAGGGTGTACACTATGCACTCTGAAGAATAGCAGTAGTTCCTACTAGCACCCTAATTCTTACAGTTCTTCCTTAAATCAAAAATCCTTTTAACTCCAAAACAGGACAACATCCTGCTCAATGCTCCTTTTGGCTTCAGGAATTTCAGGCTCCTGTCCCTTATCTTCAGTGTTCTCACAGTTTGTTTCTTTCCAAACCCCTTCACTGTACTGTGAAAACTGCTCCCCAGTGATAGCACAGCCCTCTCTCCAGCACGATCTCTGAGAGAACGCAGTTATCTAGCATACTAAGAACAGTAAATCTGATCACACTGTACACACTGACAGAAGCAGAGAATGAAATAAAGTGCTGCTTTATAGGTCTAAATAGTATTATAGGATTTTGCATGTGAAGATCATGCAGATGTGATGCGTCCAACAGATTTTTGTATTCAGCTGATCACAAATAGAATTCCATTCTCATTTCTCAAAACCCATCATTTCACGGCAATGTGCTTAAAGTGATGACAAGGGCAGAAAATACGACTGAGTGATAAAAATCAGAATGACTGCCAATGAGATTACAGTATGCATATGAGCCAACATCAACCATATAGCATCTGGCTGAATTATCCAACCCTAATAACAAGAATTTTTACAAAGTTCTTGAAATCAAACAACAAAATTTAACAAAACTAAGACTGCTTCCCATGCATGCTTCTGGCAACAGGTTTTGGAGTTCCTTTTTCCCCCCCATAAGCAAGCACACACAAGACAAATTCATGGAATATAAACTTTAAGAAGATTTCTGGTTTAGATTTTGTCATGTTCAATTATAATTACAATTAAAAATTCAGTAGCAAAACAAGGATTCTGGGCAGCTTAAGTTTCCTTACTGTGGATACTGTGTTAAATGTGCCATAAGCATGTCTGTCCTGCGTGAACAGAGCCATAAAGTTCAGTTTCCTGTACAAGTTATTAACGCAAAAATTTAGTTTAGCACAACACCACTCAGATTCATGTTCTGCCTTAGGTATTGTTAATTCCTCCTTCAACTCACTACTTAGAAAGTGTATTCTCATTTTCTAGACTTTTTTTAAACTCCTGTGAACTGAGATTAGTAAATCTGGAGAAAAAAACAATCGAAGAAAACCACCTACAGTACCGAAGAAAATTATTCCAGGTCAGTATTCTAGAAGCTGGTCTTAATGAGCATATAAAAATCGTAAGAAAACTACAAATCAATAGAGTTTCTGCGAGTCTGCAAAATGCTTGATATTAGCTAGTTCTTGTCTGCATCTCAAGCCTGTATCTTATATTTACAGCATGTGTTTCTCAGTTCTTATCACAGTAACCCAGAGCAGGTCAGCCATGTTACGTAATATCCCCCATGCTACTACAATTTTTTTTTTATTTGCAATTACTTATTTTTACGAAATACAGTTCCCCAAAAAAAGCAAAAATACGGAATAATCAAAACCTATAGCATTAGGAACTAAAGTACAACCCACAAACAAACAGGCCATCAATACAAAGTAAATAGACAAGCAAGCATTCCATACTACTACCTCCCTCACTTTGAAAAAATAAAATCACAAGTTACAATTTTTTTCAGTATGTGTCTGTCGACTTCATACAGCCTTGTGCTGGATCTCTACACAAAAGTATGCACACTAGCATACATACAAAAATACCTCAAAAAAATACCCTATTTGCAGCAACAGACAAGGTCAACAAGTTGTTAATATAAATCAGCACCCAGAAAAAAAACCTCTCCTTTCAACTTTCTGAATGGGAGAGGTATGCAAATTGATCAGCCCAGCTAGCAGATCACTTCAGACTGTGATTTGCCTCTGCTTCCAAACAAGACAAACACAAACAGAAACAGTGGACAACCCAGCACGAACAAACATGTAAAACACAGGAGTTAGTGCAGGGAAGCTCCCACGCACGGCAGTCCCACCACGGACAGACGGGCCTTCGTGCTCAGAAGCAAGACCCGTGCCCCTGGGTCTAACAACTGATGAGGACAAATACAGGACTCTCCTTCCCGGCATTAGGAAAACTCATTTTGTGGAATGAAGAAAGAGGCTTGGGTACACCTATAAAGTCGTTTCATGAGACCAATTAGTTTATAAACGAAAGTAATAGTTCAAGACAGGAAAAGCTCCCCTGCAGTGTATGGCTTCTGCAGGGACACTTCTTGCATTAAACCGCTACAGCCAACTCCTGTTCTGAGAGAAACAGTGCTTATGTTTAGCACCCTTTTTACCTTAACACTGGATCTGCTGGTCTGGGTCTCTGCCTCCATGCTCTGGCTGTTCTCCCTCTTGTCTTTCTTAGAGGAATTAGTCCTCACCTTATAAGTGGATGTGTTGGAGGATTTAATGAATAATCCTGGGACTGGGTTGCCTTGCTGCTGTTGAGACATGGTTGTGTTGGTCTGGTGAGGGGAATTGCACTCCTCAGACTCTTTGCTACTGTGATAGACCACTCTGCTGTCAGAGATGTGGATGCTTGGAGCACAGCCCATGCTTTGTGGCCACCTGGGGAATACTTCTAAATTGTATATATATGTGTATATATATATATATCTATATATATATATAGATATATCTTTCCTTCCCGTTGGTATTTTCCCCCTGCTTAATTTTTTGTTAACAGGTTGAATCTTTTTCCTCTGTCTCCGCTACACTCTGAAGCATTGCCATCGGTCCCTTCTACACCACCAGAAACGTGTCTGTTCTCCTCGTCCTCCAGGAAACGGGTCCTTTTATCTCAATCTCAGCAGTGGGCTGGGGAGCTGGAGGGGAGGGAAGGGGGGAAATCAAGAACTGGTCGACTTCATCTTTTCACAGATTATTATTAATTTTTCTAAGCCATCTGAGAATCTTGGTAGGGTTTTCTTTCCTTCTGGGAAGAAAAAAAAAAAAAAAAAAAGGAGAGGGGGAAGCAAAAGCAAAAATAACAAAAAACCCCCAAGCCCCAAACCACATGCACACACACCCCAGCGTCTTCTCCGCTAGGCGCTCAGAGCGGCCGGGGGCACTGCACCATCTCGTCCCTCCTAGTCCGGAGCACGGCGCATTTTCCACCTGGGTTTGCACAGCGTTACCGATTAACCCGGGTAAGGCCGGGGGGGCCGCTCCCCGCCTCGTCTTCCGCGCTCCCCGCCGAGCAGCGCTCACTCTTCGCGGTCCCGCTCGGCGCTGCGCTGTGCCGGGGGTGTGCTTTGGGGTGTGCTTTGGGGTTGAGCTGGGGGAGGGGGGGGGCGAAATAAATTAAAAAAAAATAAAAATTTAAAAAAAAAAATTGAAAATCGCCCCGAGGAGCCGGCTGCGCCCCTCACGCCGCGCTGGGCATGTCCCGCGCCGCCTCCGTCGCGGGCGGCCGCCGCCGGGGTGACATTCAGGTTCCCGTCGTCGGAAGGAAGAGCCCCCGGTCAGGCGGCAGCGGGGCTTTCTGCCCGCCGCAGCGGCATCCCGCCCGGCGGGGCGCGGGCTCCCGGCTCAGCGCCGCGGGACCGGAGCGAGCCGGGCCACGGGGAGCCCCCTCAGCGCCCGGGCCGAGCGCCGGGGGAGGCCCTCGGAGAAGCGGGGCACGGTCCGGAGGGCTTCCCAGAGCCGCGAGAGGAGCCGGCTCCGCTGGCGGAGGCATCAAAGGGCCTCCATGTTGGGGGGGAGATTTTTCTTTTGGTCAGAGCAATGATGCGAAACGGCAAGGCAAAAAAAAAAAAAAAAAAAAAAAAAAAAAAAAAAGAGGAAAAATGTAAAAGAGCGAGAAGTAGAAGGAAAACGATCCTAGCGTCCCATCCCGGCGGAAAGGGTTGCAGCGGCGAGAGCTCTAATTCCCAGGGCCGTGGCGTCTGCGTCCCTTGCAGCGGGGGAAATGCCTCTCTCCTCACAGCCGCCTCCGCTCGCTCCGCGCTCACCTTGTTATTATTGATGTTCCTCAGCAGCGGCGGCGGCGGCCCCGGCCCCTCCGCCGCCCCGCCCCGCCCCGCCCGCGCGGCCCCGGCGCTTGACAGCGGCGGAGCCAATCAAAGCACCCGCCGGCGCTGACCTCCGGCCCGCGCTGGCGTCAATGCAAATCGGCCACCGAGGGCCAATGGCGCGCCGCGCCGCCGCTCCGCCCGAGCGAGCGAACTTTAAACCGCCGCGCCGCGTGCCCCCTCAGCCCCGCGCTCCGAGAGGGCCCCAGCGGCAGGCGGAGCCGCGGCCGCAACGCCCGTGTAGCGGGACGGCTCCAATTAGCTTCTTGGTTGAAAACGAACAAACAACAACAATGGAACAAACAAACAAAAAAAAAACAACAGAAAAAAAAACCGCAATAAAAATCCGCCTATGGAGCTGTGAACGCAGCGTCGTTTGGCGGGGCCAGAAGCTCGGCTGCCCCGCAGACAATCAGGCCCCGCCTAGAGAGCCAGCCGCCGCGTCCGGGCCCTCCGGAACGGGACACTGCCGGAGCCCGGACTCGGCTGTTGATTCCCATCGTCTTCCTGTTCAACTCTGGCCATGCCAAATTCGTTGAAAATATTTTTGAAAGCAAAGACTGTGAAAAAGAAGGATGGTGATATACGGACAGAGCCAGACCCTAGGGCTTGGAAAATGAACTGCAGACAGACTTCTGCAAAATGTATGTAAAATAACCTTTTTCTGTTTCTATATCATATGGAAGTAACTATATACATGATACAGATGCATTGCAAGACTAGATGTCTGTACATACTTCAAGAGAGAAAGAGTATTTAAAGCCCTTTAGCACACCATGCCCAGCACAAGACAAGTTACTGCTACAGACAATACATATCTCAGAAGTACCAGTTCAAGCACAGCTCCAGTTCAACAACAGACGTCTGCCACCTCGCTCTACCACAGACCACACACAACCCAGTGAGCTCCTGAGAGCCCTGTTTGTGTTCCAGACGTGCCTTTCACTGTCCTCACTGTGGCACCTGTGGCCCTGACAGCCTTTGCTCTCAAATGGCTCGCAGAGGTGCTTCTCCAAGATACCATGTGTTTTCACTAGCTGGGGATCAGCTCAGAGGTGACAGCAGTTTAGGGAACGCCAAATCAAACTTTAGATTTAGGAGCGTGGAAAAAATATCAGAGACGTAACTTTTGCCAGTAAGCTTCAGCATCTGAGGAGGGAAATTATGTACCACAGGAGGAAACTATTTAAATTACTCTAGATTTGTATCATGAATACTTTTGTGCTCCCCTGTCAGAATCACACTGTTTCAGAATAAGCCAATTCAGCATGAGAGCTTTTGTACATTTTAGCAGTGAGCCTTTGAACAGTACCTTAACTACATGACAGATGCCATCAGCTCATAATTAAAAACAAAATCTGCAGATAAGTGATGACTATGTCAGCAAGAATGGCAAAAAGCAGCTCTTCATTCATATACGAGAGTGCATCACTTGATGCAGGTGAGAGCACCTTATAAAGTTAGGGGATGCAAAGCCAAAAGTCAATGCTTTTGAGAAATGTGTTTTTTCAGGATAACCACAGTACTTGGACTGTCAAAATACTTTTATTTACGTCTCAGAATTGCTAGCGTTAAAGGCTGGAAAACAGTGTATTTTCTTTCCTGATCTCTCTGCTACTGTGCATTTTCAAGTGTAAGCAATAGTCACATGAACTTCATCCACCCCATTAATTTAGCTGATCTATATAGCCTGTTAGAACCAGAAAAAGACCCTGGCTTCCTGTGCTCTCTCATCACTTTGAATGCCCACTTAAAATAAGCACTTAACAATAAATGAAGGGAAAGGCTTAACATACCTGCTTTAAACAGTGGGTGCTGTTTGAAGAGGGACCTTGTCCTCATTCTTTCCTTTATGTTAAACATTATGTACTAGATCCCATTAATAAGAACACACTTAAGAGCAGATAGAAAGAAGCTGTGTAAGAGAACGCTGCAATTCCTACTCGAGCCATTAACCATAAGTGTGGGCTCTCCTCTTCTTCAACCTTAATGTCAGCAAAACTGCTGGCAGCACTTTATTTCTGGTGGCATTGAAGGAGTCAGACAGCAAAACTTAATTTTCAGAGCTCTACATTCAGTTTGCAGTGCTGACACCTAGAGTTAAGCTTTCTACTTTGTAAAGTAAATGGGTTTGATTTGTAGCTACACAAAGATGAAATGTACATTTCATGGTGTAATTTCAAAAAATATCAGTATTAAAAACATCTCTGTTTTCCATTTTGGAGGCAAACAAATTCTCATTCAACCAATACTTCACTTATCCAAACAACAAACAAACAAATACTGTGCAGGGAGAAATGCTTTGTTCAACTTTATATAATAACAGCATGACAAAACAACAGTGTACATGCAGATATGACGTGCATGAAGTCTGTCCCTTTTCAAAAGTTTTTCTGCACTAACCCTAGGCAGATTATTTCAGATTATTTCAATCTACAACCTAACTTCAAAAAAGCCTCCATTTGCAAATTTTTCAGATGAGAATTCACAGTCGTGAATGGGAGGATGAGGTGAGCATAAAATACCCTAATAATCCTTTAGTAGTTTAATAAAAGCTGCTGAGAAATCACTAGAGTTGTTGCTACATTGATGAAAATCCAACTAAAGACAAAACTTTCCATTTGAACAAGACACTGGCACAGGCATTGGTTTGTTTCTCTTCAATTTTAAAACATTGGTGCTGGTTTTTATTGCCAATAGAAAAATACAGTTGAAAGTATAGATTCACCTACACGTTAGAATCAGAAAGAAGGGGTGAAAACATCAAAATCATTGCCAATGGTAGTCACTTGTCACTATGCTACATTAACTCTGAAGATAAAAGGGCTCATTCAAGCTTATTTGCTGAAGTGCAGCTCAGGAAATGGTGGTCCCTATTATTCAAAAAAAAAAAAGATGAAATACTGCAAAAGAGCAGAGGAAGAATAGGAGTGTAGACACTGGCAGCTTAGGGCTGTGGGGGAAGTGCAAGGTCAGTACAGAGTCACTGAGTTAGAGGTCAGAAAAGAACTAGCTCTAGGAGACAGCTGGGGAATGAGAAAGGTTATTTATGGAGAATAAGGTTGAATTTCATTCAGGACTACAGAATAAGAAAGAAGGCTAGGAAAGAGCTTGGAATGATTGTTATCAGCTTGGTCTGTAGACAAGGGCGTGCTGTAGAAGATCAAAGCAGTTAGAGAACAAATACATAAGCTTAAAATTTTAAAAGGATTTAATATTACAGTATTCAGCCACTTCCCCATCCATCTCATAAATTACTTTGGATCCTGCATTTTTTGACAAAAGACTGAACAACACAACGGCTCCTAGATCTCTCCCACTGTTCTCCGTGTCTGCTACCTCCCCCAAATTTCCATAAGCGAAAGCACTTCCCCTTGATGCATCAGCACTATGCATTCATTTCACACAGCCCTTGACCATTTCCCATTGCACACTTTGAAAGTTCATGCAAGAGCACTGGGACGGTTACACTGTCTGGTTACACAAAAATGCATATGGAGGCCAGGAGAAAAAGTTTGGTGCCAAAATCCAATTCTAATAACATTTCAGTGCCCAAGACAGTGACAGGCAGAATTCTGCAGGAGAAATGGTGGACTAACACCTGCATGAACAACATATATCACTGTGCTTTGAAAAAATGCTTGTTCAGCAATGGCAGAGCAGGAGTGCCTGCAGTCCTGTGAGAGCAAGGCAGCAATCTTGATATGATATTACTCTATGTGGTTGTAATTGCTTCTCCCCCCACCCCAAGTCAGCTGTATCTTCCAACTGTGTCTTTTGGCCTTCTGAAAAGTTAGGCAATCGTGCTGGTCTCTAGGTCAGTGAAGGAGGCAATGGGGAGGAGGAGGTGGAACTGTGGAAAATGTGCCAGCACACAAACAGCTGAATGGACTCTACACAGCTAACTACTGACACATGCAAGCTGTGACAGAGCTTGTCTCTCCAGCCCCAAGATATCCTGGAAGAACAAACAGGGACCATATGCTGTTTTAGCCACAAGTTACTATCAGCATTACACACCACAAGCAGGGTACATCTGGAACTGGCCATTTTCAGGTGACACCAGACAAGTGTAAAATTTGTCCTGAGATGATAGATCAATCCCAACTCCTGGAATGTACAGAAGTACAAAGGGTTTGTTTCTGCATCGCTTTCCTGATGTCCTGAAATACCCCAAAGCAATAGACAGAAGAGCCGCTCTGAAGGCCTGGCAGGCTGTCTGGCTTGATGTTGTTGCATAATTGCAATTGCAGAACACAGACACTTGTCTGTACCACTTGGAAATCAGGGCCTTCAAGACAGTCTAAGTCAGCAACTTTTTCAACCCTAGCACCAAAGACATCCAAGTCTAAAGCTCAGATACTTCATGCATGTGCAAGCTTCCTCATCATAACTGGTGTCAAAATGGCTTTTGCAGCTGTAGTTTACACATCACACTCACTGCTGTTCAGTGATCAGCAGGATAGACACATTATTTCTGGGAGAAAAATGTACCTCTCTTCCCCACTGTACCTCCCTTCCATTTTGATTACCCTCTTTGCTGCCCCACAATGTGGAAGTCTCTTTCCTAGCCCTGTCCTATCCTAAAGATTTGTCTCTCGATCTTGTATTTCTTAGTCTCCCCTGGTTCTTCCTACCTCTTCCTCAGATCCTTTTATTTCCTCCTCTAAGTATCCCTTTTGTCATCTGCTTTCTCTTGCCATTTCCCCCATCAAATCAAAATCCTTTGCCTAGCCCCAAAGCAATTCTCGCCTCTGTGATCTCCCAAAACCTCAGTCAACCCCTTAAATCTCCCACAAAAGCCCCCCATTTTTTTCTGGGTTCACAACTGTCCATCTGCCCAACACTTTTCAAGAATCCTCTGGCATTATCCCTGCTTTGATTTTTGTAGGCTCTCCCCAAATCACCCAAAATCAGCACCTGCTTGCATAGC